TATTATTTTCCCTTTGCATTTAACCCCTATTTTTCCCAAAACTAAATCTATTTCTGTTTTCTTTTTTTTATTTTTGTATGCATTTCTGCCTCATTATGCAATTCAGGGGGCTGTCATTCAAGATGTGTCATGGTCAACTTTTTGCCCTTTGGTTGATCGATTTCAGATCGATAGGTCATCTTTACATGCCTGCCTCCCACTGAGACACTGTTGCACTGTGATTTATTATAACTTATTATTAGCAGTGGGGATTAGACACTGCCGTGGTGCTGAAAGAGTCCTCAGAACTATAGTAGCCTGTAAATACACTCAGATAAGAAATGTACATTTTTATGGTTGAATTCACAAAAACATGACAACTCAGAACAAACACGACAATACACAAAAACAAAATAAAAAAAACAATAAAAACAATCAGACTATTTGCACTATAGAAAAAAAAATAATAGAGAAAATAATGGATGGACTAATCAATAATTTCCTAATAAAGAAATGTTGGTTTCAGCCCTAAAACTCTATATATTCCTGGTTTGAAGATTAATTTGTATCATATATGTCATTCTGCAGCAACGAGACTGGAACACGGCGACATTGGCCCGAATCGGAAACAGGAATGCAGACCCCTGCACTGCCCAAAGCCTGCAAGTGGCCTAAAGTGGGAAGCAACGTCAGAGTGCCCGTCACTATCTCCTCCAGCTACAGTAAGTTGACTTTACTCTTAACCTTTGACCTCTAAAAACCAGTCTAGTCAATGTCACTGTTGCTTGGTTCAACTCAGAAACAACAAAGTTTCATTGTAGTGAAAAAGACAAAAAGAAAAAAACATTTAGAAGTGGGCACAAATGCTCACCTGATGAGCAGTTTGGCACAGTACTTTTAGAACATTTACATCCATTAATGTAAGAAGAGTCTTAATATATTTGTATATTTTATATTTCCTTTTATTTTCTGGTCTGTATGTCCACAGGTTATCAATACACAATAAATATCTGTATATGAATGGATAGAGGAGAGTGTCAGTGTTCCACTGATATAAGAGCAATGTGAATTTTCTGAACCTCAATGATGACTTAAGGCTTATGGGAATGTCATTCGTTTTGCAGGTATTTGGCCATAAACATAAAGCATAAGAACACAGTCACACCAAACCAAAATCAAACTCATACAACCTCAAAAACACATACACACAACAATATAAGTAGATAAATAATAATAATTAAAAGAAATACTCAATCTTACTTGTAGAGTAACACAAATTCTTTTACAGAAAAACACCTCACGAGATAATAAAAAACAACGAAATGGGTATACTGCATTTAATGTTCTTTTTAATTAAGTGAGAAAAGGATGATCAAAAACATTTTTTTAAAGAAAATAAAGAAATTATAAATAAATAAATAACCCATACCAGCCCTCAGCTGAAAATGTAAGATGTGAGAAAAAGTGAGCAACCTGTTTGTCTCTGCAGCCAGAGAAGAGCGCAACATCATCATTAAAGGCCTGGTGAGCTTCCACCAATCCACCTGCATTCGCTTTTACTGGAGACGATCTTCCGATCGGAATTACCTCCACTTCTTCTCTGGAACTGGGTAGGACACACACACACACACACACACACACTAACGTGAAAGGACAGGAGTTGACATAGCACAAAGTATTTAAAGTATTAAAAGTAAAAGCAATCATACTGTGACTGAAATGTTGTTATATGTGACATTATTAAGTGAATACTGATGCATCAATGTAAAACCAGCATTTTAGTGTTGTAGCTGTTTAAGTTGGAGCTAGTTTTAGACTACTTTAGGCGTCGGGCCTCTCCAAAAGGGTCACAAGATAAATCCAAGCGATTGTGAGATGATTAATGGGAGAGGAAAGAAGAAGAAACTAGATGTTTAGAGAAAAAATAGCTTTTATTGACACAGTAGAGACAAACAGGAAACAAGGGAGGAGAAAGAGAGGAGGATGACATGTGTAGTGTGGTGTGCCTCTCAACCACGCCCCAAGTTTCGCCCCAAGACTGTGTGTGTGTGTCTTTGTGTGTCAGGTGTTGGTCCTACCTGGGCCGTCAAAGCCGAGGACAGCCGGTTTCCCTGAGGTAAAATGGTTGTTTGTACAAAGACACGGTGCAGCACGAGGTTCTCCACGCTCTGGGTTTCCACCACGAGCAGGTCCGCTCCGACAGGGACACATATGTCTCCATCCTCACCCAGAACATTCAGCCAGGTCAGCTCACCCACAAAAACCTTTATTTCTGGTTTTATGTCTTGTACAACGATGAGAACAATGGAGGAGCAAGTTTATAGTTCAAAGACTCCCAGATTAATCAAATTGGACCAATAACAGAACAACAAGACTACTACTGCCATGCTTGCAGCTCTGTGAGACTTAACAAATGTTAGAATGCTAACACTTTTGCCCAATTAGCACAAATTACACCTAAAGCTGATCAGTACTGACTGTCAGTAGTTTTGCAGGTATTTGGCCATAAACAAACAGACAATTTTGACCTGACCACCCACTAGACAATTTCACCAACGTATACTAATGGAATTTACAATCAATATTTTGCTCTCCTCTTGTGCAGGAAAGGAATCCAACTTTGTGAAGGTGGGGACTAACAACCTGGGCACTCCCTACGACTTCAACTCTGTCATGCATTACAGCAAGTGAGTGATTGTGTGAGCTAACAAACTGAGAACTTCTGGTTAAACCGAAGAAAATGCCTCATTTGCAGTCACATTATTGCTTAATCAAAACTGATCAAAAGACGAAAGAATGCTTTAATTGTGAGTACAGATTCAGTGTGTGCTTGTGTTTGTGTGTGTACAGCTCTATATACAAAAATGTTGTGTTTGTGTCGTCCTCAAGATTCGCCTTCTCCAAAAACGGGGAGCCAACCATCGTCTCGAGGAGCAATCCAAGCCTCAACTTTGGACAAGCCACAGAGATGAGTGTCAATGACATTGCTCGTGTCAACGCGCTTTACAAATGCTGTGAGTGAAAAATAAATGGTATATTATGTACATAAGTCATACTGTCTTACACACACAGCTAATACATCCCATATTGACTGGGTAACCATGTAACAGCGCAGTAAAACATGGGAAAAAATAGGGTTGGAATATTGTATATCTGAGATTGTTTTGTATGAATCAGAATCTAATTGTTTTTTTCCTCCACCAGGACTTGATGGAAGGAATGGAACGGCTGACCTCCAAATACTTCAAGAGATAAGTCTTGGTTTGTCAGGATTACACTAAAGGCCCAGATCTGTTTTACTGCAAGAATAGAATATTAAGCAACATGAACTTGAATATATAAATGTGTCACATACCTGTGCATATGTGATACAGAGATCTGAAGTGCTGCCACACTTTTCTTAGCTTCTGTTTGCATTCGGTTTCATTTAGTATCCACTACGGCACTAAAGTGAAGTAGCTCAAAATTGCACTAAAGTACATTAGTGCAAATGCAGTTACTTTGCACCACTGCCAACTATGATAATTGTGTGCAGACAAGAGAAGGGAGCTCTGTTAGGATCCAATAACAATATTATCCTTGAGCCAATTGTTCTTTTGTTTACTTTGTGTTAGTTTTTATTGTAGCTCAAGATGGAGCTATCTTAAGTACCTTTATAGTCTTGTAGGATAGGATGTGGTGGGTTGTAAAATTTAATATGGTAGAATAAATACATATCTAATTGTGAAATGCTGATTTTTTTTAAATCTCTTTAGGGCCTCAAATAGTTCAGTGAAGATTTTAAATTTTTTTTTTTTCTCTTCTTAATCTTGAAAGGCAGATTGGGTGGTTTAATTAGTAACTGTAGGAACAAATGTAGGTGGAGTGGGAAGTATAAAGTACGCGCATAACTTGAAACCGAGTAGCTCACAGTGACAAGTGCCTCAGAATTGTAAGTTCAGTTTTCAGTCACACATTTCCAAAAATGTCTCCTGCTTGCTCGCTCAGATTTATTCCAGGCATCACACTGACTCATACTCTGTCACCTGCAGGTTATAGACAGGGCCAAGACTAAGGGCTGTCAGGAATAGCAGCCACATGCACACGCTCAGGCAGCACTGTGTCAGCTTGTCTATTTACACATTTTTAAGTCAAATCAAACAAAATGTGATGTTAATTGTTAATTGTTGGTCTCATTTCCAAGTTGTCAAATACTGCTGCTTGGTCAGTGGCCATTTGTTTCATGACCCTGTAGGTATCCCAGTAGCATCAGTTGTGGATGTGCCCGCCATCAAGTCAGGTGACTTAGTATAAAGAGCGATATCCGAAAATCGAGGTTAGGGTATAGGGTAAGGTAAATCCCCCCGTGGAGTCCAGACGTTGGTGGTGGCAGCGACTGAGGACGCTTATGAGAAAACCTGTGATTGAA